TGAAAGATGGTGGGCTAAGGTGAGTTGTGGGGGCTGTGGAGGATGCGTGGTGGCAGTTGGGATCTGGGATGTTGGGGATGAGTGAGGGATGTTGGGGTCTATGTCTAGTGGAACTGAAGTGTGAGTGAGAGGGATGTATGTCAGGGCTGATGGGATGTGTGTGGGAACTGCCAGGATAAGTGGATAAAGGACCGTCGGAGGTTGTTGGGGGCACATGTGGGGTGGGGAGACGGTGGCATTTAGGGATTTGTGTGGGGTGGGGTATATATGCGGTTGGGTTGCTTTGTTGTCTAGTTTATGGAAGATGTGGATGCCCCAATTTCCATAGTGCACATGGTCCCAAAATTCTTTAATCCAGGCATGATTAAAGATGGTCTAGCCCAGATCTAGGGTTGCAGTCAAGAAGCACACAACGTAACTCAAGTGAGGTGATGCAAAGACGGCTGTAAACCACTTCTGTGTTCTCCTGATTTAAGGTGAACCGTGGACCTAAGAGTGCTCTGGTCTAAGTGAGGCCTATTGAAGTGAGGCCGGTTGAAGTCTGTTTTAACTTATTCAGGCTGCAGATAGCCACTAGGGGCTATTTATGGTAGCTGGGGATCGCTGTGCTCCAGGAAACTCCCAGACACATCTCCTATTTTGACTGCAGACAGAGGGGTGATATGAGACTCTACTATGCTCATTTTCAGATTGCTTTGTACTTGTGGTATGGTGCAAAGCAACCTGAATGCAAATGAGAATTTGGGCCTCTGTATAATTCTTTTTATTTCACAAAATGAACAGTAATGTATTTATTCAGAAAAAAACACAATTTAATTGCATTATAAATAGCTTTCTATGAAACCTGCCCCCTTTATTTTCTTACAGGAGTTTTGCAGAACTTATTTTCTGTGTCTTCAACAATACATCACTGACAAATATTGTGGAATGTAGGAGCTGTAAAGTCCTCTCAAATCTATATCTAGCTAAGTGGTCAACAGTGTCTAAAATTTTTGGTAAAAGAATATTCCCTCATCATTTTCTTTTCTTACCAATATAATTCTTTGAAATGACGAAAGATTCTCCCAATGAAAGTCTACCACGGCACTATCAAGCCCAATTCTTTTTTTCAGTGCATCTGATTGCAGGTCTGTATCTGTTATAGAATCATAAAACCAGAGTTACAAATATACAACAGTAATAAAAAAGACTAGCACTAGCTGCCTAACTATATTTTCCAGTTAGTACCTCACCAAAAGTAGCCATTGATCGAAGACTTTAGATATCTTTTTGTTTACCTTTTAAAAGCTAAACATAAGATTTGAATCAGTTTCAAGAATGGCACCATCTGAATAATACTGTAACAAATCCCAATTATACAGGTATAAAGATGCCATATATCAGTATAGCTTATTCCCCTTCCCATACAGGAATAGCTCTATCAGGATAGAATACCTTTATAGTGGTATAATTGCGTCCCTTCTGATGTGGGGTGGGAGGTGGTTATCACAGAATCATGGCCATCTAGTCCAGGCCCCTGTGCTGCGGCAGGACCATTCCTGCCAGGTGTTTATCAAACCGGTTCTTAAAAACCTCCAATGATAGGGATTCTGCAACCTCTCTTGGAAGCTTATTTTATGCTTAACTCTCCTGATAGTTAGGAAGATTTTTCTAATATCTAACCTAAATCTTCCTTGCTGCAGATTAAGCCAATTACTTCTTGTCCTACTTTCAGTGGACATGGGGGACAATTGATCACACTCCTTCCTATAACAATCATTAGCATATTTAAAGATTGTTATCAGGTGCCATCCTCAGTCATCCTTTCTCAAGACTACACATGCCCATTTTTTTAAACCTTTCCTCATAGGTCAGGATTTCTAAACTTTTATAGTTTTTGTTGCTCTCCTCTGAGCTCTCTCCAATTTATTCACATCTTTCCTAGATGCCCAGAACTGGACGCAGTGCTCCAATTGAGGCCTCACCAGTGCTAAGAAGAGTGGGAGAATTACCTCCCATGTCATACATAGGACAGTCCTATTAGTAAATCCCAAAATGATATTAGCCTTTTTTGCAACTGGATCACATTGTTGGCTTATATTCAATGTGTGATGCACTATAACCCCCACACCCTGTTTAGTGGTACTACTGCCTCTTCAGTTATTCCTTATTTTGTAGTTGTGCATTTGATTTTTTTCTTCCTAAGTGAAGTACTTTGAACTTGTCTTTCTTGAATGTAGTCTTGTTGAGTTCAGACCAATTCTTCAATTTGTCAAGGTCATTTTGCATTCTAATCCTGCTCTCCACCTATTTGCTACTCCCCCTGCTTGGTGTCATCCACATATTTTATAAGCATACTCTCACTTGATTAACTAAATCATTAATGAAAATATTGAATAGTGCTAGACCAGGGGTAGGCAACCTATGGCATGTGTGCCGAAGGCGGCACGTGAGCTGATTTTCAGTGGCACTCACACTGCCCGGGTCCTGGCCACTGGTCCAGGGGGCTCGGCATTTTAATTTAATTTTAAATGAAGTTTCTTAAACATTTTAAAAACCTTATTTACTTTACATACAATAGTTCAGTTATATATTATAGACTTATAGAAAGAGATCTTCTAAAAACATTAAAATGTATTACTGGCACGCAAAACTTTAAATTAGTGTGAATAAATGAAGACTCGGCACACTGCTTCTGAAAGGTTGCCAACCCCTGTGCTAGACCCAGGATAGATCCCTTCAGAGCCCCACAAGATATGTCTTTCTAATTAGACAGTGAACCATTGATAACTACTCTTTGAGAATATTCTTTCAACCAGTTTTGACTCACCTTATAAGTAATGTCATCTAGACCACATTTCCTTAGTTTGCTTATGAGAATGTCATGTGGAACTGACATTATTAAAGATATATCATGTCGACAGCTTCCCTCCCATCCCCTAGGCCAGTGGTCCTAGGGTGACCAGATGACAGGAAGAAAATATCGGGACACAAGGGGGGGGGGTCACTGGC